GACAGGCAAATCAAAGGCCTGGTGTTTGAAACGGAGAGTCACAAAGTCAATTGCAGCAATGTGACCCAATCACAAGCACAATGTAACGTGACAGTCAACAGCAAAGCTTTTCCTTTGGAGCCTAGCTAACATCAAAAATATAAGGATGCATGATCGCTCATGGTCAGTGTCTAATGCTTGTCAGTCTGCTCAAGCATACAATTACAGTGACAAATTTCAATTTGTGTCGCAGTTTTGTCAGCGTCCAGCATCCAATAGGACTAGATATCCTCACAGTTGTCAAATAATAGAGCGCAGTAATGAGAAGGGGTAAATTAACGCCATCTAGTGACGTTATTTTGAAGTATCCTGGAAAATCCAGATTAAACCGTTTGCTGGATTATAGTAACGAGTTTCTAGCTGGCTATTAGCTGGTCATACCAACAGCTGGTGAAGCTTTATCATTTTATTTTATTTTACATTGTCAACCAGCTAATGATCAACATACCATTTTAAACTTGAGTTTGTATCAGTAGCTATACAATATCATTATTTTAGGTCAGTAGAAAGATAGTTTGAATAGAATTTGTTTAGATAAATGTAACTGTTTAAACCCTTATTTAGTATCAAAAGATAGCATACAAATATAATAGTTCCTGAATAGCAATACAGTTTTAAAATGACTGGCACAATGTAATACTTTTTTTTTTTTTTGTAAACGTGGTTAATAAACCCCGCTTACAAAAAAAGGCTATATAGGCCTGCTAATATAGACATATTAGATAATAGTATTTATTATTTACTAGGCCTATTACTATACTACTACTATACTACTACTACTAATGAAGGCATGTTCCTAATATTACTCTACACCAGGGGTGCCCAATCCACCGGCTTAGTTCATTTCCAGCCCTGCTCCAGCACACCTGCCTGTAATTACCGAGCATTGCTGAAGATCTTAAAGGGGTCATATGATGTTGCTAAAAATAACATTATTTTGTGTATTCGGTGTAATTAAATGTGTTTATGCGGTTTAAGGTTAAAAAAACACATTATTTTCCACATACAATACAGTTTTAAAATGACTGGCACAATGTAATACTTTTTTTTTTTTTTGTAAACGTGGTTAATAAACCACGTTTACAAAAAAAGGCGCTTGTAACCGTGGTTTATAGCCTATTAATTAAGACGCATCATTGCAGATCTTTTAGAAATCAATGCTGTGATATTAGATATAGAAAAATATGATCGCACGTTGCCCTCTGCTGTCTGTTGCGCGCAGTCACCCGGAGAAACGTTTTCTTTGACTTGATTTTTAAAGTACCTTTACAAAAATGCACTAACTGTCAACTACAATAATATATATGACTGCTAGATCATTATGAATTATTATGGGGTCGTATTGAGAGAGAAGAAAATATATAGGCCTATATATATATATATCAGCAACTTCACAACCAAACCCAAAGACGCGCGTCTTCTTCCTCCGCTTCATCCTAAAAGTCATTCGGACCGGAATCGGCCCAAGACTTCCCTTATTCCCCCGGAGACCCGGAGCATCTGATATCAGCCTTTGCTTATCAGACGCAACGTAGAAATGTAATCTACAGATAATTGGATTTGGAGAATTCGCAATTATACGTGATGCGCGCATTCACTGTACGCTGCTGCCACAGTGCTTTTAAACATATATATATATATATATATCA